TTGGCTTAATTGAATCACACTCTGCATTATAAAGCAACACAAAATCTTGATGCCTTTTAACAAGACTCTGGAATGGAAAAAGTACAATTCAGGCTTTTAAAGATAAACCTAGCCTACAGTTTAGCCTTTTTTTGGAGGGTGGGCAGGGTTATCAATAAGGGCCAGTGGCCGGCAAAATTCACCAACAATTTCACGTGAACTCGCCGCCTACTTTTCTTTGGAAATTACCCCAGTTTAAATAGAGTATGCATGTGCTGTCACTGAATAAAAAAAAATTAATTGAAAATTTAATGATGTCTGTGTTCTGTTCAAACACTCTAATTTTTGCTGGAATTCAATTCTAAGAGGCCCAAATTTCAAAAAAATTTTTCCAGAAACTCGTGCCTTTGTGGCAAGGTTTTTTCTTCTCCACCTACTCCAAAGCTTTTGCACCTACTTAAAATCCTATTGAAAACCCTGGGTGGGAGTGGGGGCAGGGTTGGCAAAAATCACCATCTACTTGGTTAGTATTTGCCAGCTACTCTGCTTGGCATTTCTTTATGGATAGCGTTTTTTAAATAAAATATCCCTGGACTGGTCGCTTACTCTGACAACTCAACCGTCTACTTCAAAACTTTCTGATAACCCTGGGGGGTAGTGTGACAAGAAGTAGAATTTGTCCCATGACGTGGTGCACTCGTGAGATATGGCAAGGGGCAGGGCTTACTTGGCCTTTCAAATTATCTCAACCCACTTTCTACTCTCCCCAAATTAATTTCATCTGCTGTCAAAATCAAAGATGGAAACTGCAAGAAATAATTGAGCACTCCCTGGGCCATAGAATACACCTGGACTGCAGGCTACAGAAAGGACAACTAAAACTTCCCGCATTTCTTTATCACTCAGAGGCAAAAGGAAGACTCCAGAGACCGACAGGTACTACTAGAGCTGAGGCCTAAAGCAGTATAATTTTACAGTAACATAAAGGAAAAAAACAGTGAGAGGCGAGTGTGGTTGAGAGGTTAACACCTTGAATTTAGATCTGGAGGTCCAGGGTTCAAGCCTCACCCGTTGCGTTGTTTCCTTGTTGCGTTGTTTCCTTAGACAAGGAACTTTACTCCACTTTGTCTCTCCTTACCCAGGGTTATAAATGGGTAACGGTGACATGCTGCTGGGGGGTAACCCTGCGATGGAATAGCATCACGTCCAGGGGGAGTAGCAATACTCCCAGGCTTGCTTCATGCTACAGAAACTGGTATACGCTGCAGCCGTGTGGGTCTCTAGCTCTTGAGCGCCTTTATCTTATAAAGGAAAACTGTCTACACTGTAATAATGTGGAAAAAAGTTTATACTGACTGCTTTATCTCCTTTTGTTGATAAATTCCACTCTTTCAATCTCTGTCGTAGTTCCTTCTCTGGCATTACACTGTACACCAGCTTTGGAAGAGGTTTCCTCTTTTGCACTGTCTGGCTATATATGCAAGTTAAAAAAGTCAATGCCCATCCTTAGTACCTTCCAAGTTCAAAAAACTGTGCTGGGTGGTTCTTAATTTTGATGTGAACTCCAAAAGGGTTATTGTTACCGTGACATAACGTTTATTATGCTGTGCAGGGTAGCTTTACCGTTTGAGTCTGTGGATGAAATCTTGAAGTGCGACCATTCAAATGAAAGCTACTGAGCAGTACTTTCCTATGGTAGAATTTATTATGCTTTACAAGGTGTTTCTAACTTTTGAGTTTGTGGACAAAATTCTAAGGTGTGACCATTCAAACGAAAACTACCAAGTAGTATACTTTCCTGTGGTACTGTTTCAATATTATGTTGTACATTACTTTTGAGTCTATGGATGAAATCCTAAAATGTGATCATTAAAATGAAAGCTACGGAGCAGTATTTTCCTAGGGTGTTGTTTATTTTACTGTGCAAGGTAGCTCTAACTTTGAGTCTATAAACAAAATTCTGTCTGTAATACAAGNGGGGGTAACCCTGCGATGGAATAGCATCACGTCCAGGGGGAGTAGCAATACTCCCAGGCTTGCTTCATGCTACAGAAACTGGTATACGCTGCAGCCGTGTGGGTCTCTAGCTCTTGAGCGCCTTTATCTTATAAAGGAAAACTGTCTACACTGTAATAATGTGGAAAAAAGTTTATACTGACTGCTTTATCTCCTTTTGTTGATAAATTCCACTCTTTCAATCTCTGTCGTAGTTCCTTCTCTGGCATTACACTGTACACCAGCTTTGGAAGAGGTTTCCTCTTTTGCACTGTCTGGCTATATATGCAAGTTAAAAAAGTCAATGCCCATCCTTAGTACCTTCCAAGTTCAAAAAACTGTGCTGGGTGGTTCTTAATTTTGATGTGAACTCCAAAAGGGTTATTGTTACCGTGACATAACGTTTATTATGCTGTGCAGGGTAGCTTTACCGTTTGAGTCTGTGGATGAAATCTTGAAGTGCGACCATTCAAATGAAAGCTACTGAGCAGTACTTTCCTATGGTAGAATTTATTATGCTTTACAAGGTGTTTCTAACTTTTGAGTTTGTGGACAAAATTCTAAGGTGTGACCATTCAAACGAAAACTACCAAGTAGTATACTTTCCTGTGGTACTGTTTCAATATTATGTTGTACATTACTTTTGAGTCTATGGATGAAATCCTAAAATGTGATCATTAAAATGAAAGCTACGGAGCAGTATTTTCCTAGGGTGTTGTTTATTTTACTGTGCAAGGTAGCTCTAACTTTGAGTCTATAAACAAAATTCTGTCTGTAATACAAGTAAAATTTTGAAGTAAACTGACCTAAGTGCATTGGAGCCTTTTACAGCCAAACTCGATGAATGAGTCAGTGGACAAATAAATTATTCTAAAGAGTGACCATTATTTTGAATGAAAGCTATATATAGCTACAGCTACTGAGCAGTGTTTTCCTGTTTATTTTGCTTTTCAAGGTAGCGCTAACTTTTAGTCTATAGACAAAATCCTGTCTGTAATTAATGAAAGCAAACTTGGGACTACACTTACATAAGTGCATTTGAGCCTTTTACTGCCAAACTGGATGAACCCCTGGACTTTGATGAACAAGGTTGTTGATCCAATGAGCTTGATGATGCATCATCACTTGAAACGGCTTCAAATTCCTTAGATTCTGCACGTGGTGCATGTTTCCTTTTAGCTGATGTACTACATATAGTCTTGCGTTCCTTGGATGTCTTTCTGCATTTCATTATTAATTTAAATTGGACGGTTAGAAACATTTTTACAAATCACAGAGATCCAGTGGCTTTTTGACAAGACTCACAATGCAAGCAGAATTAATAATTAAATTATTAACCCATTTGCTCCTGAGAGTGCAGTGAGCATCTGGATGTTTTGAAGCTAGTTGAGTCATTTTCTGGTCACTATCTGGCTATAAAGAGCTAAAACTTGCCACAAAATTGTTCAAAGGCCGTGCACTATGCAGACTTCAGGTCCAGATGCAAAATATTAGCTTGCGAAGTATGGGCTTGACTTTTTCCTTTCGCTTTCTCTCCTCCCCTCCTCTTTCAGTTTTCTTGCCTCATTATTTTTTCTTTTGCTGGGCATTAAGTAGGCTTCATTTTAGTGGGAAAAGTTTTGGGGAAAGCTTTTAAATTCTTAGGATTAAATGGAAGGAAAGGGAAGTGGTTAGTGGAACCAAATTTTTATAGGAATTTTTGGGTCTCAGTGTTACATGGTTTCTTGCCACTGTTTTCTCCAGCCTTCTTAACCAAATTATGCTTATTCTAGTATGGTTTGAAAGATCTCTTCACCCTACACAAGTTAGCTGACAAAGTTAAGTTAGTTTTTTAATTTGAATTCCCCAAAAATTCCACTTTGCTTGTCAGGCAAGTTAAGAATAGAATTGACTTCTCCAATCACGAAAAAAAAGCCCCAGGATATTGAACACCACTTTTTATGCAAACTGTGCGAGCGTTAATCTCTCCTAAAAGAGGAATCTTACAAAGTAAATTATTGTACAAACCTTCGTAGCGAACTTTTCTTTTCTGTTCTGGTAAGGCAGGTATCAAGATGTGCGTTGATTCTTTTGTGAGGAACCATGTCACCACAAACTGGGCATTCAGCTAAAAATATGTTCAACCAACAAAGTATATGACTGTATTCTTTCTTTACCTAATGTTATAGATATAAATATTATTGTTGCTTTCATTAACGCCGGCACGAGTCACTCCGGCATGAGTTCATCCCGGTTGTTGTACCGGAGTGAGAATTTCACTCTGGTACGAAATCTTGCAACAGTATCATGTAAACTTGAAACGACCACTCATTTTGGTGTGAAATCGGTCTGCTGGTAGACTGGAACTGGTAGTGCATGCGTAATGTTTGCAATTTTGAATCACATATGTATTTATCAACATAAAGTGTACCTTAAAATAACGAGATATGAAATGACCCAGTCATCGTGTAAACACGATACTAAATAAAAATTTCATCGCGGTATGAAACTCACGCCGGTGCGAGTTTTCCCAGGTAAACACCCCCTCAGTTATAAAAGGAGCGATATGTGGAATAAAGATCTAAGTGACTCTTGATGTTATGTTTAACACTTGGCCCAAGAGGGCTAGCACATGTATATGAACAACATCAACTTACTCCTAACAATAATTATCAATACATAACAAGAGAAAAAGTTATGAGAATTGCCAAAATGTTTGTTAATTAGGGGGTTGTTTTCATCTTTTGTCAAGCAGGTTAGTCTGGAGAATTTGTATGTGGATATTGAGGATATTCTCCTTTAGTTTCACAAGAAAATATTAGGCAATTCAGGAGGAAAAATTAGCAGTTTAGCACATGCCATTTGGGGCTTTTTCCTACAAACTTCTTCACTGGAAAAACTTCATTGAAGAACACAGATAGTTGACCACTTACCAACATCAGAATCTGCCTGTTGCTGTGGTGTCTGTTTCTCCAACATATCTTCGTCCACAGTCATTGGCTGCATCTCAGAGGCAGCTTGTTCATGGCGACTCTCCTCTGAATTGATGACAATCACTTCTGTATTTGTTTTACTGCAAGACTCTGCTGTTGTCCTCAGATTGCTTTCAGTAGTTTCCTCTGAGTTTGAGATACTCTCTTTCCCCTCATCAAGTTTTTGTCTCTTTGTATCCGGACTTGAAGACTTGGAGCTCCTTTGAGATCTACCATGATCCTGCCATGTATAATAAAAAACATTTAAATTTCCATTCATTGACAAATCAACCACTTCTCTTGTAGTACACAATTAGAAATCTTGCTTTGGAGCCCCCTTTAAAACTCCTTTTCTTATCCCAGTTCCATTCCTTTTTTTCTCCCACACTCATCTATTCACACATTACTCATCCCTTTCCATAAGTTTTTACCACTTTCTACCAAATTCCCTTCTGTTTTCTCCCAGTTTTTCTACTGTTTTTTTTTTCAATTTTCATCCCCTTTTTCCCAGTTTCTACTTCTTTTTCTTCCACTTTCCAAAGTCCATCTTTTCCCATCCCCTTCCTCCTATGTCAGCATGCAAAGAAAGTCGTGTCCGATAGCCCGGGGCTAGTGGATTTTGCTATTGAGCTAGTGATTTTCATTCTTAACTTGCCTGATGGGCAAGTGCTGTTCTTTGGGGAAATTCAAATTAAGTATTGTAATCAATCCTGCTAGTGAAAGAGGGTTTTGGGGCTAGTTAAAATGACTTGCGAGCTAGTACACTCTAGCTACAACTGGCCTGAATGGCAGGCTGTAAAACTGACTTTCTTTGCACCCTGTATGTTCTACCTCTCTTTCTGTTCCCATCCTGTTTTCTCCCAGCTCCAAGAAAGTTTGTTCTATTTCCTTTCAGTCCATCCTTTTTTCAGTCTTAAAAAGACCTTTCAACGGTCTTTTTTTTTCAACTTTTGACATGGACAAGTTAGGGAAAATCAACACCACAGGAAAGAGCGCCTTCAAATTAGTGATTTGTTGAAAACTAATGAAGAGACTTTACAGATATTTGTATGGTGGGGAGCATAAACTTGTCCCCCACCATACAAATGTCTATAAATTTTTGCAGCTGTGCGGAGCTTCATGTTTGTCTAACTGGTCCATGTCAAAAGTTGAATAAAATGTGGAAGACTCGATTTCAAACTCTTATTCTTGTTATTCTGATAAATTTACCTTTCTTCTTTTTGTGCTCGTTAGTTTGCTTTTCTTATTCACTTCTTCTCCTTCTTTGGCAACTGTGCCGGCAGTCACTGATGGAGATTTTTCTATACCGCTACCCGTCACTAATTCTAACAGTTTTGTCCTGGAACAGATCATAATTATAGGAATATTATTACATTAAGCAAATCAAAGTAAATTTCCACCTGAAACCTGCTTTAATTTTTATTATAAATAACAGAAAAAACAAAATATACCTGACTTTTATGAAGTTTTGCACCAATTCATCTAATACTCTGTTATTTTTTAAAGTTGGAGAATTCAATTTCTGAAAGAGAACAAAAAACTTGCAAATTAGCACTTGACCAGCCTCCGGGGGAGATGTTCTTTTCGCTTGTTGTATGTTTATTTCCCCAAATGTCCATTAGCTACATGTACCTACAATCAAGGACAAAAGTAGTGACTCACTTGTCTAAAATACCAATTTTATCAACAATTTCATTCATGTAATATTTCATTCTGTTTAAATGCTGTAAATACCCCGCCTCCCCCCAAAAATCAACATTATTTGTAGTGAAAGAAAGACTTAAGCAGTGGTGGATCTAGGGTAGGGGCATGGGGGACCCAGGACCTCCCTTATTTGTAGACCAAATTGAGGCCCGAGGGGCTGAAAAAATTTTTTTTGAGACCCCCCCCTTCTAACTCAGGGTCTGGATGACCAGTCCCCCCCCCTCCCCAACCTGAAGGTCTGGAACCACCCCTGTCATGGGTCTAAAATACAACATTAATTTTGGGGGGAGGGGATAGATACGTCAACTATAAAAAGGGGCCACTTTATGGAAGTGTGCTAACACTTTTGTCCCTCATTGTGGTCAACTCTCTCTTCATGGCAAACTCTATAAGACACGTACCTAGAGTTGACCCCTACTGCTCTTTAGTAGGATGCTAAAATCCAGAGCATGCAACTCCCATACTTAGCCTGTGCAATGGTATATTTTTCCCGCAAAAATGGAGGCTTTGTATATGTACGCATTCACTGTTAAGCAGATATACTTGGGGGTGATCATTATATGACAAGATGAAATAAAATTTGGCTTTTAGACTAGTATTTGACACATTATTGTTAACCAGCTATTTATAACAGAGAAAATCAATGACTTACAAGAGAACATGTTGGACACTGTGGTTCATAGCTCAGAGATCTTCTGATACACAGAGAACAATCTGAAAAATAGGTTGCAATATTAACTGGGGGTGACAAGAGGAGCCTGCACTTATTCTAGTCTCCAGGTTGCTATTTGGCATGCTTGGCACAAATGTAAACACAATCAGCAAGAAAACTAGTTGAGACCCCTTGCCCTAAAGGCCCTCTTAAAGTTGTACAAGCTATATAGGTATGTGCCGCCCCATCGGGTAGGGTTTTTGCACCGTTTTGGTCTGAAAACGGGTATACACTTTGCCCATTTTGGTTTGGAATCAGGTACGGTTTTTGAGGGAACTACGGGAGTGTATGAACGTATTCATCGTTTCAATTCCAAATGAGTAAGAAAGAAAGAGAAGTATGTGAATTCGAAATGGGTTTGAAGAATTTTTTTGTTTGTGCTCTAATCTGAGAAATGATAACATAATTTCTGCCTAAAGGCCAGGTCTGAAAATGGGTATGGATTTTAGAGGTCTGGTCTGAAAACGGGTCTAGGAAATTACATTTTTTGGTCTGAAATAGGGTCAGGATTTGGAGAACCGGGCAGCACAACCCCACCAAGAATTCCCAGAAGTACCCCCCTCCCCCCCTCGGTCCCCCGATGGAATTGTGTGGAGCCGCTGTTCGAGCTACCTGTAGAAAACAACAACACCCCAACTTTGAATGGAGGGGGGATGGGCAGGACAGGTATATACTGTTTTGCTCTCCAAAGTTACCATGTCTCAACAATTTTATCCCTGATTGCAAGTCGTCATTTGGACTCCCACTAAGAATGAATGGAATGC